TTTGGTTCTTTGTATATTTAAATCCACTGATAGACACAGCTGGCAGACTTTCATTTGGTGGGCTTCAGTTGTGTTTCCTTTGCTTTCTAGTTTTACAAGATCAGAATCTACAAGATATCACAGGCTGTGGAAACAGATACTTTGCATAGACATTGATAGATGGATCCACAGACCCTACACTGCAGTTTCTGACAATGAACAGGTTCCTGGGGCTACATCCAGGCACCAGTGTGGCATCCTGCTGCTGCTCTGGGTGAGGCAGCTGCTGGCAGGTAAGGTCCAAACTTGGGACCAAAGCAAGTGAGATACAGCAAAGCCATGCAGCGTGGCTCCCTATGCAGCCATGATCTCCAGAGGATGCAGGGGGCAAGTTAGAGGACTCAAACATGCCTCCCAGATTTTTGGCCTGAGGAACTAGGGCTACTATTTATGAGACAGAACAGTTTTGGTATGGGGGTATCACAAATTAACTTGAATATGAGAAGGTTAGATGCAAAGCTTCAACTGTGAGTTTTAGGCCCTGAATCCAACTTCCTTCCAATTACATGAGAAGAAATAACACACTTTCCTAATCCATGATGGGTAAATTCAGAAGGGAACTATCAGAGTGCCTCGTGTTGCCCTTTAGCATCCAGGAGCTAGCAGGGTAGGTTAGTCTAAATATCCAAGAGTTAAGACAGAAGGCACAGCAGTACCCCCCAAAGATGACACATCACAGGAGCAGCAAAGGCCAGCTTCTGAGGATATTAAGGGTGGGCATTTTGGGGATAAGAGACCAAACACACATATGCACATAGGCATGCACACACATATATGCATGCATCTTCACTCACATTTATGGACGTGGACACACACACACACACACACACAGTCCATGCATAGGCACATACCCACTACATAGTCATGCACAGGCACATACCCCCCCCCACACACACAAGCACAGCCATGCACAGGTACATACTCACACACATATGGAGAGTGGGATACAAACAGCAAGAGAGTAGAGGAGGAAGGCGTCTGGAGACAACTCAAGAACACGCTGCCACATCTTTTCAAGTGTTTTTTATTTACTCCTTGAGCATTTCATACATGTATATACAATGTATTTTGATCATACTCCTTCCACCCCTGCAGCTCTCCAGAACCCCTAACATATCCTACTTCTAATTTCAGGCCTTTTTTTTTTTTTTTTAATAACCCATGGAGTCCAATTAGTGGTGCCTATATGTGCATGGTTTAGAGTCATCATCTGCTGCATGGGCAACTGACCAGTGACCACAACAGCCAATGACTCTCCCTCTCCAGCAGCCATCAACTGTCAATTGCTCCTCAGCTAGGGGTGGGGTCACATGAGCCCCTCCCTCATCCATGCTAGAATTTTGACTGGCTTGACCATGCACTGCCATTATGTCTTAAAAGCAGAAAGCAAACACAACAGCTCCTGGCACCCAGTATCTGGCATCAGTGGAATAGTTTCCTGAGTAGAAATAAGTGTGAACATGCCATGGTGTCCTGGTATGGGCACAACAGAGGAAGGGATGCTACATAGAGGCTTGTCAGAGTGAAGAAGTCACTGGAGAATGCCTTGAAACTCAAGGGAAAGTCTGACTGTGCACACACAGCCAGACTCAGGAGGAGCCTCGAAGCCAAAGTCTGAGGCACTGGGCCAACTTGGCACAAATGCTGCTGCAGCCTCTTCCTGCTGCTGACCTTTGACAGTCTCAGCTAAAGCACCAGCCTCTTCCTGCTGCTGACCTTTGACAGTCTCAGCTGAAGCACCAGCCTCTTCCTGCTGCTGACCTTTGACAGTCTCAGTTAAAGCACCAGCCTCTTCCTGCTGCTGACCTTTGACAGTCTCAGCTGAAGCACCAGCCTTCCTGCTGCTGACCTTTGACAGTCTCAGCTGAAGCACCTGCCTCTCCTGATAGCAGCAATGTGAGGTGGTCAGGTGTGGAGGTATAGGGAAAATTCAGATCATCACATAAGGAGGACTGAGAGCCCCACACACCTGTAGTTCCTGAGTCCTTGTCTGGCTAGCTGACTACCTGCCCTCCCTCTAATCAGAGGGCAGATGGCCCCTAAACCTGACTGCCAGAGCAATTATTTCTGTGAACATGTCTGTTTTTCTATTCGCAGTCACTTAGTAGCTTTTCATCCAATGCTTTCAGTTTTCTTCCTGGCCAAGAATGTAGCAAAATCAACATTTCCCAGTTCTCTAAACATCAGGGGAGCTATGCTAGTACACACCAGTGAGTGCAGCTCTAGAACAATTATCACACTGATGCATAGGCTTGGTCTATGATGTCCCTCTGTTGTCTACCCAACAAAATGAAGAAGGCTGAGGGCCCAAGGTACCTCCCTGTCTGCTGTATGAGAAACAGACTTTGCTGTGCTAAGGCATCTACATTTTGAGGTGACTTCCCAAAGATTTTCCTGACTAATGTAGAACCAGATACCTTGAAAGGTACTGTGGGACACTACTCAGTGACTGAGTTGGGGGCAAAGAAACTGCCTCAAGACACAGAATGCCCAAGATTCATGATGTACAGTGGTAAAGCATAGGCCAAGAACGTCCAGTAATATACTGGATGACTACGTGTGTACTGATCACAAGGCCTTACAGGAAATGATCAGAAAGAACGTTAGTAAGCCATACACAAACTTGACATGTATATTAGTTTTCTGTTGCTATGATAAAAACACTGACCAAAGCAACTTTATAAGAAGGAAGAATTTATTTGACTTATGATTCCACAGGGTTAGAGTCCATCATGGCAACAAGACGGTGGCTGGAGCAGACAGGGGAAGCAGAGAGAGAGAGAGAGAGACTGGAAGTCTGACAAGGCTTAAGAATTCTCGAAGCCCACCTCCAGTGACGTGCTTCCTCCAGCATGGCCATACTCTCTAAGGCCTTCCAAAACAGCACTACCAACTGGGGACAAAATGTCCAGATACTTGGAGCCTATGGGGGACATTCTCATTCAAACCACCACAACATGGCACTGTGGGAGCCAGTAGAAGTAGAAAGTGTGCAGAAGCACAGAGGCTTCCAGGCTGGGATCAAGCACCTTGCGCTGCCCAAATCAGGCACAAAGGGCTTTCAAGCTTTGGCCTTTTAGTCAAGAACACCTCAAGGGCAGTTACCTCTAGTCCATGTGACCTTATGGTATGAGCCAACAGGAGAGAAAGCATGCAAAAAGAAGAGAAGAAAGATGATGGTGGAAGTGGCCGCACCTAGAACTACGGGGACACACACTGGCCAGAGTCTACTATGTTCTCCAAGGAACCATGAGGACAAAGAAACAGCCAGCCAAGAATAAAGAGCAGCTGATAACTCCACATAAAGCACCTCCCCCGGGGAGTGGGCCATGCACTCTAAGAGGGCACAGCCCACTTCAGATGCCAACACAGTGGAAAAACAGGCAGTGTGGAATAAAGCACATCACAAAAGAAGAGCCACCAGAATCAGGGTGCAGTCAGAGAAACACTCCCAGCTCCACTGGCAGAGAGTCTGGACTGCAATGGTGAGCAGCCTCTGCAGCTTTCCTTACAGCGGCCTGACTGCACCCAACACTGCACCCTAGTGGGAGCCAACAGTGCATCTTAACTCACAGGTCTCTGGATTATGAGCAGCCTCACCCAGGCCTCCTGAAGAGAACTCTGCAAGGAACGTAAATATGCCCCACATGCTGCGTGCCCTGACCAAGGAACTCCCTTTGGGATGGCCTGTTCTCCAAGTAGCATCTAGAGAAACAGATTTTGTTAGCAGGAGAGAGACTGTTTGTTTTTCAAATCTTTGCCATTTCCTTCTGGACACAGAACTAGTATTATCCCCACCCCACCCCAACTCCCCCATAGTTAGGTGCAACCACATGGCTCTGGTCTAGCCAGCGTAGCAGGGAGATACAGTATGCAGGCATGAGTAACATAAGTCGCTTTACAAGCATGTCCCCTGAAAGCCTCAGCTACCTGACCCTCCCCCAACAGTGGCTGAATGGAGAGGCTTCAGAAGCCTATAAAAGGTGGTACCAGGGGATGGAAGGGGTTCCCAAGATGCCTGAGAAGAGGATCAGGCCACAAACAGCCACACAGGACCCTATGCAGAAGGGAAAGACTATTACTCCTCCAGGGCTGTTGAGTAACAGCACTGAACCTGCCCCCATAGTGTGCAGTCTTACTTTAAATGACAAAAGCAAGCACATGATTAAGCAGTTAAACAATGCAGATGCCACACCAATAACGCTGGTTCTTGGTTCTTCTTCCCTACCCAGCTTACTGTGCTTCCTCAGAATAACCCATGGAATACATCCCACAGACATCCTACACAATGCACACCAGAGAAATAAGGCTGAGAGGAAAGACCAAGTTTATTCTTCTAGTGAATTTACAGTGTATCTAAGGTTAGGCAAGCAAATCAATCAAGGCAGAAAGGAGTGACAGATTAAAACCTGTGGTTTTGTAAAGCTAAGTCAGAAAACAAAGCAATCATGTGAAATACACAAAAAGCTGCACAGTCAATGCCCTTTCAGAGATACAGAATTAGTACATGTGAATTGCAGAAAATGAGAAAGTGTATATAAAAAAAGAACTATTCTGTTACTCAAGGAGCATGATTGTGATAAGCTTATGGATTCTATGTAACTATGTATAGTTTTAGGGGAAAATATGTTTCCTTCTGATTATACAAGATTCAAGTATTTGTCTCTTAGCTATGAAGGCAGAATCATGTCACTTCATTCTTGAGTTTGGAAGATACAATTAGGCAGTTCAATACCAGGATGAGCTCCCACAAAAAAATGACCAGACCCTAAACTACTCCTGAAACTTAGAGCAAATGATAAAGCTCTCTACATTAGCCAGGAGGGGAACTGGGTTCCAACTCAGGTACTGTGAGAATAGACCTAGATATTCAGGGGGTCTAAATATGATCAAGATACATACACTAGAAAACACAAAAATTCACTAGAAAAAATTTTAAGTCATTTCCTTCTTCGATGGTTTAAAACAAATCCCAAACCATCTGGATGCTGCGTGCACTGGTCCAACCCGACAGGCTTCCTCCAGATTGGTGAGCAGGCAAAGCCGGGTCCGCACCCAACGCTGCGATCAGCCCGAGGCTCAGCCCTTCGGAGGCCCAGGTCGCCCAGGCCGCGGGGAGGAGAGGAGAGGAGGAGCCCAGGCCGCGCAGGCCACCACTAGCCGGAGCTCCGTGGACAGGCCCAGGGCCAACTCCTCCCTCACGGACCGACCCGGCCGCCGAGCCCGGGCTCCCTCACCTACCGTCCCGCGGGCCCGGACGCCGCGGCTCAGTGAACTCGCCACCCGCCCGCGGCGTCACTGTGGTAACGAGAAAGCGGCCTGGACACCACGCCCGCGAACCCTGGCCCACAGAGCGCAGCGCGCTTCCGGAAACCCCGGCTTCCGGAGCACGTCACTTCCGGGAGCGGCTCCTCTTCCGTCTGCTCGAGCTGGGTCCCGGCCGGGCCTGGATGTTGTGGGAGCTGCGCGGCCTGCGGGGCGGGGCGGTGAGTCGGAGCGGGCCTAGCCCTTCTCCAGCCACCTACGCCGGGCGCTGGCCTGCGGACCCCGTCCGCCTCCCTCTCTCTGCCCCGAACTCCCTCGGTCCCCGTCGGCTCCCCGGGACCCCGGTGCGCGCTCTCGGGCCGGGAGGCCAGGCCCTGTGGTCAAGCTTGTCGCCCGTGCCTTCACAACGCAGCAGCTGCAGATGAGGGGCTCCCCGAGCTGAGCGCCTGGCGATGGCCGCTCCCTGGAGGTTCGCCCTGCTGCTGGTCCTGGCGGCCCAGGCGGTGGCCCCGGGAAAGTGCTCGGAGGACGACGACGTCCCGGAGGAGTGGCTCCTTCTGCACGTGGTCCAGGGCCAGATAGGAGCCGGAAACTACAGCTACTTGCGGTTGAACCATGAGGGCAAAATCATTCTCAGGATGCAGAGCCTGAGAGGGGACGCAGACCTGTACGTGTCCGACAACACGCTGCACCCCAGCTTCGATGAGTACGAGCTGCAGTCGGTCACCTGCGGCCAGGACGAGGTCTCCATACCTGCGCACTTCCAGCGCCCGGTGGGGATAGGAATTTATGGACACCCATCACACCTCGAGAGCGACTTTGAGATGAGGGTATACTATGACAGAACAGTGGATCAGTACCCATTCGGGGAGGCTGCCTACTCTGCTGACCCCACGGGAGCCGGTCAGAAGCAAGCTTACACTCCGGAGGAGGCGGCCCAAGAAGAGGAGTCCCTCCTCTGGACGATATTGATTAGCATTTTGAAGTTGGTACTTGAAATTCTCTTCTGATTTCTTGACCACAAATCTTTATCTGCGCGGGGTGATAACAGCTTGCTGCAAACCTAGCTACTTGGTGAAATTGTGGTTACCTTTTCTACACTAGGATGAAAAAATAAAGCCATACCAGTCTCGTTACCTCAGTTACTCCCAAACAGAAACGGCAGCAAGCACAATATTTTAAAGATCAAAAGTCCTATAAAAGGAGTATGCTCGCTCAATAAAACGTTTAAACACATCTTGGTTAGTCAGGTGAGTAAAAAGATTATTGCAGTAACAGGTTATATAAACCAAAGTCGAATGACCTTTTCATGTTGGTTCCAGATCAGATTAAAAGGCTGAGAACTTTAGAAATGCTGTAGACATTGTAAATGAAGTTCAGCTGTCAAGTTTTAAAGAGGCACCAAAACCAAGGAGGAGATGCCATAGCACCCTAACTTTTCCCAAGCCTCGGCCTTCCTGACAGGCAGGTATTTGCAAACTGTTGCTGTGCCAGCTGACGATTCCAAATCCAGCTGTACCAGACCTTACACCATTTGCCCTGGGGGCTAATCAGAACTCTGGTTAAGAAGTAACTGATAAATAAAGTAGGCCAGGAACTACTACCACAGGTGGGGGTAGCCTGGCACTAGCAGTAGCTGGTCAGGCTCAAAAAGGAAGAAATACTTAAGTTGCTACATATTTCTGCTGAATCCTTGGAAAAAGACAACACTAAGATAATTTTTTTAAAAAAGAAAACAAAAACTGGGGAAATGAGCCATTTCTCTGGACTTAATTTCAGGGTAGGAGTTGCTGATAATGAAATAAATCAACTTGCAGATGTTTAAGGTCATACTTAATTCCAAAAAAAAGGTTTTTATTGGCATAAAAATGAAAATGTAAATAAATTGGCACCAAATATCCCAAACATTAGGGTCAAAAACTATCTTATCCCTCTTTGCTGTTTTTCCCCCTTCTGCCCACTTTCCTGGGTGTGGGGGGAGCTCGCTGACAACAGTCACAAATCCAGCGACCTAGGAGAAAAATTGTTAGTTAATATGGAGTGGAATTTTATTTTTACAGGACTGAGTACTAAACCATCTAAACTCATTCCTGGGCTATCAATAGTGATAACAGGGATTTTTCTGTGGAGAGAGCAGTTATGAGCTCCTTAAGCCAAGGAGTAAAATACAACACTGAGGTGATCAGTGTAACCAATACTATGTGAAATTTAGTGAAAGGCAGGGTTGGGGAAAGAGGACTATACAGTCATTTGTACCTTATAAAAATTACTGCACTCCTTCCTAAAATTCACACGCCACTGTGCTTTTAAAAACCAACAGCACAATTCCTAACATAGAACCTGTTAGGAATTTGGCTATCACTTTTTTCTCTACTCTTAACAGGAGCTTCTCTCCAGTCCTGATGTACTATGCTAACATGGCATTTTAAAACTAGCACAATAAATTATCCCAAGTACTTGATCTGAATTACTACAGAACCTTAAATGATTCTCCAAGTTGCTTGCTTCTAAATGATTCCCAGGAAACTTAGTTTTATAGAGTACTATACAGTGTTAACTATGCAACTAAGTTCTAAAATTGCACAATTATCTTTATGTTTTAGTGTAATTACTGTGATTTGCTCTGATTCTGTGTCCATCCTATCTGGAACTGTCACATTGCCTCTTTATAGAAAGATGTCCTAGTATGTATAAAGGCATAGAAGTCACTTTGTTAAAAGTTTCTAAATAGATGACTAATAAAAATAAAATCAAAGCATTGAAACTGCTGCTCTGTTACTTTAGCAAACACGAGCCCATTCTGTACCTCTTCTAGCCTAGGCATTCTGCCATCTCATTTGTCCTTCAGTTGCAAAGGATGTCTAAGGATAAAAAGCAGGTAGCCATGACATGAACAATAGCAGCTTTGATCATGGCAGAACTGTGTGTGTTCATGTCTTTTATATGCCCTTAAAAAAATGCTGAGAGCTTCATCACACAAAGACAATGTGTTGTTTGTTTTCATCTTTACCTGATGGAATAGCACCAAGGCCCACACAAAAAGTATGATAACCTCTGTCACACACATCACAGAACATCATTTCTTCTTCATGGTGGGGCTGTCCACATACAATGCATGTTTTACACTCCATACACTGCCATGGGTAGGTTTTAATCATAGAAACAAGCTCCATGGTCATATCCAAGCAAGAAGGGTGGCCTAAATCAAAACCAACATTAGTAGCATTTCACAATACAACTTTTAATAAGGCTTATAAAATAGTAGCTGCTTTAAGACTGCCCAAGAATGGCTTTCATGCTTAATGTTACCATAGGAACATTATGGTATAAAAATCAATAAAGATATATAGACTATATTCTAATAAGTGACTATCCATTTGATGGCTGGTGGACACCTAGCTGACACCTATAAACCCTAGCTTTTGAAGCAACACTCAAGGTGGGGTTAAAATCTTAAGGAGACATCTCTACTTACCACTGTTATCACACTGGGAGCAGTGTATAAGTGATTCAGCCTTTCCTTTCTTGTTGGACTCCTTACCCTTCAGACAAATTCCACATAGAGCATTTGGAATGACCTTTGGCTGGAAGGGCAGAAGAGGGGCTATAAATTCACGCCAGAAGAGCTCACTAGGGGTCAAAAGGAATTCTGTTATTACCTTAACTTTCAGTAACGTGCTAATGAGAAGCTTTTAGTAAAACAGAACTGGATACAAGTTGGCTCAGAACACAGAACCTACCAATGCAGGCCCTAGACTGTACTCGGTAAACAGAATGAACTTGTGTTTTTAAATGTAGCATTCTACACTCCCTACACACAGCACCATCTGTGTAAGACCAAGAAGGAAATATGAAATACAGTGTCAAATGTCACTAATTGGGAGAGAAAATGTGAGTACTGAATGACCACACAAGCTAAGCCTGGGTTTTAAGCCACTTACATATTCACTTTGTTCTGGAATTTTGCCAAAAGCTATAAAACTGAAGCTTTAAATTCAAAGTTAAAAAAAGAAAATGTTTTAACATTTTTAACTGAAAGACGTCTCATTCCTACACCGTCATGTGCATAGATGTAGAAATCCGCATTGTACAAATATTCTTGTTGCATGTCTAATAAATTAGAAGAACTGGTAAAGGTTCCAAAGAAGCATTTACCAAGAAATGAAAAACATAAAAAGGAAGTGTTTTAGACAAGCAACAATTGTAGTCAAGTAGGAAATATATAAAACATTTTAAGTATTAGCTTTCAGATAAAAAACATACAAAGTATTTGGGCTTTAAATATGGAATAAGACAAAGGAAAAAGGGTCCCTACACCTAAAATTACCAGGGTGAGACATAACCTTGACCTTCACAATGATCTGAATTTGTACTGTAGGTATGCATGAACAAATGGTTAAAAAATGGGGGGACAAAGATGGAATGGGGGCAGGGAATATTCCAACACAATCTAATAGGTCTCATCTACCTTTTCTAAGTTACTGCACCACAGAGGGATCTAAGCTCAAGCTTTTTAAAAGCAGTATCACTTTAAATGTCTCACTGCCACTCCCATAACCTGTTAGACCTAACAAATTTTCTTTGCAAAAGATGACAGAGGCATTCAAAAACAATTTTTGGCTTATTTATTTTAAAAAGTCAACCTTATACATAAATATAATAAAAACAGTAACTAAACAATCACAATGTCTCTACAAAATAGTAAATATCATGGAAGTTAAACAAACATAGAAAGTGTCCCCATCGACTACTCTCCGTCTCTGTTTTTGACCCTACTCTCAGCATCCGACAGCCGTGACCCTCTGCGGTTCCTGCTGCATCCTAAGCACATGGCTTCACTGTGTTTCTGGACCTCAGTAAAAAACAGCTAGGAAGTATAAGTCTAAGGTCTACAGTTACAGTTGCTACTAGGGTCGAATCTGTAACTGCCATAATATGCAACAGAACCCTAACTCTGAATAACCAAAACTAAGAAATCCCTTTTGGTTATGCTACCTGCACTAAATGTAGACAATTGATGTATTTAATGCTTTAAGTTAGATACTGGCATAGTAAGTCCTCCTAATTATCTCACTAAAGTCAGGGAAGTAACCATACAGTAATTAATTCTAAAAAGAGAACTCCTCAGAGGAGTTGCTTTACAAAACTCAAAAGCAAAACAACACAAGTCTAGGTATTCACATTCTAGAGCAATTCAAGTTCTACAATCATTAAAATACACATATGCCTGTGATAAAAAGACACTAAGAAAATTCAGGGTTTACTTTTAAAATTATACATAATGTTCTGTTAAACCACTTAAATGTTTTTCTTACCCAATAATCTTCATCTTGTTGAAAAGAGAAACATGAAATAGAACAGGGGAAGGAGGAAGATAGGAGAGAAGCAGAAGGGGGAGATGGACAGCCGTGGAGAGAGACAACAGGAGACAGCACTGCAGCACTTCCTACAACGCTGCTACAGGCAGACACAAAGCACATTGTTTCTGTTAGGATCTGGGCACTAAGAAACCAGAGCCTGCATCCAGGATCTGACAGACAAAATGAGGACCAGCACTGAGAGAAGGAAAAAAAAGGTACAGAAGTCCCCCACAGATGAAGGGGCAAGACCCTCTGCATCTCACTGTCGCCCTCTGCTTGACTTCAAATAACTGCAACATCAGAGTTTCACTGATGACAACAAAAAGTAAATAAAATACCCTAACAGTCTCCATCATCTCAAATAAAAGGCTCATAGGCTCATATACATTTAATTCTCTTGTTGAAAAATAGCAAAATAAGTGAGACTTTCATGGTAGCACTAATATAGTATTGATTTTAATTATATACATGTAGGCCTGAATCCTAACGATTATACTTTAATTTTCAGGTTAATGTAACCTAAATAACACTTTCCTACAAGTTAAGGGCAAGCACTAAACCATCTTATTAAATCACCTACATTATCATGTTTCTTAATTCCCATAGCCTGTGTATATGAACTTCAGCTTAAGTACCCGTGTATTTAGGCACATCTTGGCTTATTAATACTTTTCAGAGGTTAAACTTTCAATGACATAATATCTAGATATTGGCTATTGCCATCTCTGAAATATCTGGAACATTTTTAGGTACTAAAAATGTTCACAGATTATAAAATGTTTAATTTGCATATCAGGTTCCCTTGAGTACTACTAAGACTAACCTGAAGGATTTATTCACTAAATCGGTGATAATACAGCTACTTCTTCATTTCTAGCCCTCTCTATTTTAAATGCATGATCCAACAGGCTCATTGCTTAAAAGCCTCCTCAGCTCCGCCCACCGAGACCTCTGACCAGAGACATACAAACTTGCCCATGCAGGCTTGTTTCTGAAACGACATCTTTGGAGTTCATTTGCTTTCAATTACTAAACAGTAACTTAAATCTTTAGTTTACAAAGCTTAAACTATATATGTAAAAAATTTAAAAATTAAAAAAAAAAAAAAAATCACACAGCAGCAACCCACTGAAATCCACATGGAAAGGAAAGCTTGCCGAGTGAAGAGGCTTCGATCCTCTGGCCACAGCTGTAAAAGCATGTATTTTTTAAGCTGAGGATCTATATGTGTTCTTCTAATAACCTATGGAATACTCTTAACTTATTAATGAACTGTTAGAAACATCCCAGTAAGGCTGAGGGAAGATGATTCACAGCCCTCGTCCTGATTCTACTGTGCCATATGCCATAGTGACACTGTTATCACACAGGTGTTTAACAATTCCACTTGACAAGACTCTTAACAACCTTTCCTCAAATACACCTCCATACAGTAACAGGATGCACATTCTAAGCATCCCAGACAGAGCAACTGTCTGTGTACTATCACCATTTACAATGTACAGCTGAACACCATGAACTCATACTGGTGCTCTGTGCACCACCACAGCTGCTCACCTCTCATCCAACCATCTGAAGGGGAGAGGCAGATGAGGAAACATTAAAAACAATCATTTCTGATTACCTGTTTCTTTACTCTGAGAACAATCAGATCCAAACACTAAGTTTTACTCCTTGTCACAGAACAACATCAACTATCTGCCAAAGATTATGGTAAAACCACAATGTAAGTTAACAGGTTTCACTATTTTCTATCCCACACTTGGCAGAATTTGGCAGATTGATCAAGCAATCCTTGGAATAAACCCAGATATCCTTAGAAAGGCACTACTGAAACACCACCCTTGTGGTCGGACATCTCTAAATGTCCTCTGACGTCAAAGCTCAGCAGATTTAGCTTTACCAACTACTCGGGGAGTCAGAATGCCAGATGATCAGATCTTGTACTCAAAAAAGTAGTAAGTTCTGCCTTGAAATGTTTTAAAACCTCATGCTTGCCTGGTTATTATTTAAAAGGGACTAAAGAACCATAAAGAATACATATATCTATATATAGATATGTAGATATAGATATATAGATATATATATATAGATACACACACACACACAGACACACACAGTAAACAAGCTACAGCAAACAGTGACAGGAGAACCACTGGGAAAGAAAGCAAAGAAAGCAGGGGACAGGGCGCCATGGGAGACGAGTGAGCACAGTAAGCACAGCTCCAGTCAGGCTCAGAATTAACTTGTGTCAGGGAGAGAGGCTGGTCAGGAAAGAAGCTGAGTCAGGGGCTTTTTTCTTCTACCTTGTACCCAGGTACTGATTTGGACAGTACAGAACGTTTGCAGCCGTCTTTTCTTGGCGTGGTCACTCTGTCTTTTGATTTCTGTCTTCCCTGGAAGGGGTCCTCCTGGCTGTCAGGGGGGCTGTCTCCTTCAGAGACATTACCTGAGGAGCTATCCTGGAGAAAGAGAGGCAAAAACAGAGGTTCCTGGAATTGAGACAGAGTTAAGTGTACTTTTTTAATGTTTATTTTAGTGTATGAGGGATTTGCCTGCATGTGTGTAAGTGCACCACCCATGCCATGCAGTACCCTCAGAGGTCAGAGGTGTTGGATCTCCCTGGAACTGGAGTTATAGACAGTTGTTAGCTGCCATGTGGGTGCTGGGAATCGTACCCAGGTCCTCTGCAAGAGCAGCCAATGCTCTTAACGGCTGAGCCATCTCTCCAGCCCCATGTCTCCATTTTTTAAATTACAGAAAACATTTCTTAAGCTTTAAAGTTTCACCCAATGAAAAACAAAAAAAATTCTAAGAGACTTGTTTCTAGCAAGAGATGAAAATAGGTCGTGTTGGGGGCTAGAGAGATGGCTCAGCAGTTAAGAGCACTGACTGCTCTTAAAGAAGACCTAGGTTCAATTCCCAACACCTACATGGCAGTTAACAACTGCCTATAACCCAGTTCCAGGAAATCTGATGCCTTCTTCTGACCTCCTCAGGCACTGCATGACACAGGTGCACTTACACACATGCAGGTAATACACTCATACACATAAAAATAAATATTTGTTAAAAAAGAAAATAGGTCATGTTAAAAGTTACTTACCTTTCTAACTCCAACACACTTGAAGCTAATTCTATTTCTATCAGTAAGTGCCCAAATCAACTTTTTTTTCTGATATAAGTCAACAGGAATGGAATTACTAACTTCAGCTATTATTATATTATATTGCTTCAATATTTTCCATGTCACAAGGAAGCAGTTTTATACTCATAAAAATAAGTTTATTTCCTCTGAGTAACAGGAGTCATTAGCAAAGTCCTTCAACTACACAACCATGTTTACAACTCTGAAAATACACAGCTATGTCCTCAACTACCTACAAAAGTATCTGACATTTTACCTGTTCAAAATGTTAAGACCATTTAATAGTATCTGACCATTTAATTCACTTTATAATTTAAATTTCTGTAATTTGTATTCACAAAAATTATGAAAATTATAAATGAAAAAAATTAGGCTTTCTAGCCACCTGATAAGCCCCTGCACTGACTGGAAACACAAACTCGCCTCCTTTCTCTTGCTTCTCGGTCTTTTTCTGTCTATAGAAGCCCAGGCTCTCTCACACACACACCTGTAACACCTTACAATGTGCCCTCACTCTGGCAGTGTAATCCACAACTAGTTTACACTGCACATGTGTGTTCATGTGGTCAGAATGCACACTGTGTGCACATGGATCACACAGCATGTGTGCAAATGTGCTATGTCATTTTAATTAAGTGCTGTATTTCCCATCATTCCTTGAACTGCATTTCTTCCGCGTAAATGTAAACATAAAGCATTTTGGAAAAAGATTTATTTGTAACTTAACTACACGAAATGTTACTAACACATAAATCAACACTTTTTTCCCTATTTAAATTTTGCCAGCATCTGATTAAGTCCTTAAAATTAAGTCCTTAATATGAAGTCCTTAGCAAATTTTCCAGATCAAATTCTGTGAAAAAACTCTGGGTATACTATCAAAATGCTTTCCTCAAATGCTGGATTAATTTATCCTAAGAGCAGTGTGAGAAAGTTAGGTTCAGCATTGTTAATCTGCCATAGCTTCCCTCTACTGACAGGAGGCACTGCCACTGCAGACTTGAGTGAATCTAGGTGTGCTTTAGAAGCTGCTGACAAGAAAATGCAGCACCACTCAATGGTAGTATTCAGGTTGGCTATGGAGTAAGGTGTAAGATGGCTGGTATCTTATCTTAAAGGGCACTTCTGAAGAAAGTCATAACCCTAAACCCCAGTGTTACTGCTGTTCCTCATGTCCCAAAGGTATACACTTCCTCTTTCTTTGCAGCTAAACTTTTGCAACGAAAAAAGTCACCCAGGAAAACTAAACCAACAGTACACTATTATTAGTAAGAGTCTACAGGAAGCCTCAGGTTAAGCAAAAGGAACACAACTTAATATGCTGTCCCAATCCAAGAAAAATACATTTCCCTGTGTCAAAAGATCAAAGTTTGTTTGGGTCAGTATTTTAATCTACATCAGCAACAAGCTGGATAAAAGAGAGAAAACTAATGTTCTGTACAATTGCCTGTCTCATCACAATTAAGTTTTTAAATTCAAAACGTGCCAAAAAGCCATGCACAGCTTGCTTATGTCAACACACAATAAAGTATTCCTGAAAAAGCTTTCTGAAAATGTGTGCAACTGTTCAATGTGTGCAAGAGTTCAATTTAACATTCTAGGAAAGCAATCAGCACAGTTGAAGGATGCCTCTGGTTAAGGTTCGCATTCCTACCGAAGTGCCTTTATTTTTCCGCTTCTCGTCCCCTCGACCATCTTCACCATCATCTGAATCACCGTCACTGTCTAGTGCCGGGAGCTCTGGATCCAGAGGAGGCTCGTACAGGGCTGTGTTTAATGGCAGGTACCGAAGCTCATCTGGCGAGTACCTAAGTTCAGAGACTGCTTTTACTTCTCCTTGACTATTACAGGGAAAGACTATCATCTAAACTGTGACATTAACCTTAAACTTCACACTCCCAAAACTTTAGAAAAATCAGTACGGACGGTCATTTGGTTATCAGATAGGGCTAAGTAATGTTAAAAACTAAACATTTTTTTCATTTGACTGATGGTAAGGATATGCATTTAATCTTTCTTATCTAAAGGTAAGACTTTCTTCATTATCCTCAAAAAAAAGTAAAAAATGAGTAAAAAAATGAGTAAAAACTGAGTAATGTAGAAGCAGGCAGGGGTGAAAGCCAAGCACCTACAACAGCACATTAGTGCCTGGTCCCAGGGCCACCACATGCTCATATCACCTCCACACGTCTTGAGTTGTCCCTACTTCTCTGTGCTGTATCCCCCCCACTTGAAAACAGGCCAGAACAGGTCTATACACAAGACTGACAGGAGGATTAAATAGTTCATGGAGTACGCAATGTATGATATGAAGATTTGACTTAGGGTACAATTTTCAATATCGATTAACACATTTTTGTGAAGCATGTATTCCAATGTTTAAGCCTCTGCTAGGTCAGATGACCACCACCCTGACCTCAGGAGAGCTGTTCAGGAGCTCCTTCACTAAGACATCCCATCAGAACAGAATGGTTGAAAAACTGCCAGAGGACTTGGAATAATTTCCTAACTCAAAATATAAAGGAATTAAAATTTTCTGCAGGTGATTTAAATTAGACTGCTGACTAGCAAGTATGACTCCATTTTGTTTTAGATCATGCTCTAAAGAATATCCTCTTCCTGGGGCTGGAGAGATGGCTTAGCAGTTAAGAGCACTGGCTGCTCTTGCAGAGGACCTGGGTTTGATTCCCAGCACCCACATGGTGACTAACAACCATCTGTAACTCCAGTTTCGGGTGAATCTGACACCCTCTTCTGACACCCACGGGCACTGCACAACACGGGTGCACTTATATACATGTAGACAATACACTCACACAAAATATATTTTTTAAAAAAAGAAAAAAATTTTTAAAAAGATTATCTTCTGAGAACATACTTCTAGAGTAAGGTTTAATACTGAAGAAAAAGTTGAGATGTTAAAACAAGAAGAATCATGAGCCCTGGTTGGGGAGATCTGGATTACAGTTAGGCAGAAACAGCTGAGAGGTACACTTCTGTGTCCTGCCCACCCTGCCACCTACTCTGGTCCCTTTCGATCTCATCATTCCTCTCTGCACTGAATCAAAAGTACAGATCCAAGGAGGGGGCTGAGGCTGGACCTGAGATTCTAATTTCAAAAAAGCTTCCCCGTAATACCAGAGCTGCTAGCCCATGCTCTGCACTGTGAGCACTGAAGTGCTTCCAAATCTCAGGATGTCTGTGAAACCCAGACAGAGTGGGCACAGACGTGAGACTTCAGGCTTCATCAGCAGGCCTTTGGATTCTGATTGAATGGTACTCTTCAGAACACGAGAAGACAAATGCAGACACAAACCCTACACATCCTCTGGTGTCATTTATAAGCAAAAATCTTTAGGAGGCAAGTACACAGGGCTCTAAAACCGTGGTAAGTAAAAATACTGAATACCTCTTATAATACTCCTGGAACTGTCCGGGGATGAGCGCCACTGGGTAAGAGCTGACCTTCGTTCGATCAGTTGGCAACACTTTATACTTTCCTTGAGGTACCTGGATAACCTGTGTTAACGTCAAGAAACATGAAAAACAAACTATTCCAGGCTGGGAATCAAAGCTTCAGGAAAAGGTCTCTCATGCAACCACTACACCCCCATCCCATCCCACAGAAAAGCTAAGGATGTAGGTGACACTGGGCACAATAAACTAAGGAACAGTTGCTTTCTAGTCACACACTTGAGTTTTGCTTACTCTCCACCAGGAGCACAGATTCAAAGGAAAGGGAACATGTCTCTACCTTACTGTGCTGCCAAAGCCTGGAAACCTCTCAGCAGCTCACCAGCTACCTCTATGAAATGTGGGGGACACTGATCCAACCTCATGTGGCTATAATCACAACCAAAAGGACAAGCACAGTACACTCTTACAACCACCCTTGGGACACAGGAAGTGTGATACATAGCTACTATTAGCCTCTGAGTAGCTTCTCAGCCATAAAGCAAGAGATCTTGCAGGGGGGAAGACACGAAGAGAAGAGGGAGGAAGAGAGACAGCACGAACAAGTGCAGGCAGGCAAGAGGCACTGTCAGCACATCGTCAAAGTGGGGTCTTAACTTCTGGGAGAAATGGGAGAAAACGGACACAGGTGACACAAAAAGCAAACCACGGAAACAAAACCCAAAACCAGTAATAAGTAACGATCACTCTGCAGTAACAACAGAAGGATCCCCACAGCGTTGAACTAAGTCTCCCTACATGTGTCTGTAAGTCAAAATAAGCTCTTCTGTCCTCCATGCGTTCCCGATTTAAGTTGCTGTTAAATTCGGCTGCTTTTTTGGCTGCTTTCTTAATATACTCGGGTACTTTGCTGGCTTCAACTTTCTGAGTATTCTGCTGTTGCATTTGCTGAAACAGAAATTACAGTTGGAAGTCATATGTAACTACAAAATGTTATTTTCCCTAACTATTAAAAGAGATGCCAATCACCTCCATCACTTACAGAATACTCCTTATAATGATCTGTAATTCGCTGACGCTCTTTCTCTTGTAGAATGACAGAATATTCAGCATGCTTAGCTGGATATTCTTTTATCATTAAATCAATCACTTCATCACTGCGCAATGCTGTTAAGCCTATTTTAGGCCAAGAAAACAAGAAAAATCTTTTAACGCTAAGTGAACACAAGTACTTTTTCAAAATTAGCTTCTCTTTCAAACTATTCTACATTTAAAAAATCTTAAATAGTCAAAGCAAAATATTTTAATACATTTTAGAATAGTAAAATTTAATATCCACAATAAAGTCAAGCAACTAAAAGATTATCTCGTAAAAGCAAAGAAACCAATTCTTCACCTAAATGAGTTTCTTTTAGAGTCTATGTATATGAACATATCCCTCTGCTTAGAAATGAGTATTAATATACACTAACCACCAAGTAATACAGGACATTGATATGTAAAAAAATATTTCTCAATGTTTATGTCGTAGCCTTCAAATTATACCTCAGAAATATTATAACCAATTCAAATTTTAAAAATTCATCAGTATTCATACACATGCCATATAATATTCAAAACTTATGGCATCATATTTCACTGACCCTTGTAATGAATTATCATGAATCTGTGGCATTAACATGCAGCATTAACATCAAAGCAAAAATTACAAATGAAGCATGAGGTAATTACACAGAACTGAAACTTCTGCAAAATTCTACATTCTAAAACCTAAGGATCTACAGGTTCAATCCCAGTACAACAGAGATCAAGAGCTATACTTAGATATAAATTTTGCACACAAAATACATTCTGCCAACTCTAAGTTATTATTAGACAATTTATTATAAAGTTTCATTCATGCATCTTACATTTTAACAATAATCAAAAATGGGGTAAACTTAGCATTTAAGTACTTATTTTATTGACTCTGTTAAATATTTTAGAAAATTACACGTCCGCCTGAAAAGCCACACTGAGCAGCACATTACCTAGTGTGCACTGAGTTTCTGTGATGACGTTTAACTCTCGCAGGTAGAGTTTCTCCTTATGAGACAAATCTCGTCGCTCTAAATCTCCAAAAACAGAACAAAAGGACTTTAATAGTTTAAATACTTTAATAGCTTAACAGTGAAACATTATACATTTGTAAAACTTTTTAAAACTTAAAAATTATTTTTAAACACAACTCATACAATATATTAAGTATTAAGAGAACTACACAAAAATTCTTATAAATTCCAGAAATCAATATTAAAAAACTAAAAATAGAATAATTCAAATATTAACACAGTTAATCACAGCCTTCCTCAGATTCAGATAAGGCTGAGTTCATTCCTTTGGTCATAGAGCAACAGTAAAGATTGAAAAGCATTTAGCTATAAAGTGATTTTTTTTTTCCAAAATATTCCCCAGGTAGTTAGGCATGGTGTCACACACACATAAATCCCAGTACTTAGGAGGATAAGGCAGGAGGCTCAAAGCCAATGGCCTATGGAGTAAGTTTAAGATCAGCATCGGGGCAGTGAGTTCCAGGCCAGCTCAGGCCTACACAGTGAGGTCCTGTCCCTCCCTGTCCCAACCCCAACACACACCACCAAAAGAAAAAATTATCCCATTTAAAAAAAAAGAAAATTCACCTTTCCTATTCTGCCTTTGAATTAAATGGAGACACATAAGAATATACAAATTGTAGAATGAGATGCTGAGCACATTAAATTCAGCAGTGATAGGTGCTTTAAAAGTACATAAAACAGGGGTTGGGGATTTAGCTCAGTGGTAGAGCGCTTGCCTAACAAGCGCAAGGCCCTGGGTTCGGTCCTCAGCTCTGAAAAAAAAAAAAAAAAGACAAAAAAAAAGTACATAAAATAGAAAGAACTCATAACCAAGACCTGGAAGGGAAGAGCGTGCCGGGCACCATCCACTGCATGCACTAAGCCTTAAGTACCTGGGTACTTCCGCTTGAAGGAGGTCACACCCAAGTATTCACTGACTTGCTCCTGAAGCATGTAGTACTCTCCTGTCTCATCAGGTGGCCACTTGTACTCTATTAAGTTTTCTGCTGGATAGTAACTAAAGCTAAGACATAAAATACATATTATGCCTTATATTTAGCACTTGATACATTTTAATCATATTTTTATTTCAAATACTTTCAAAACAATTTTAAGTATTAGGTCTTTGCTATGACTATTTTGTGTTTATCAAAGAAAATTACAAAACATTTAGAAGGAAGAGAATCAATAATCTAAAACCTCACATCAAAAAACACAATGAGAGCTGGAGAGAGAGCTCAGCAGTTAAGAGGCTGAGTTTTTCCAGAAGACCAGAGTTCAAGTCCCAGGACCCAAGTCCATATGGTCCACAACTGCTTTTAACTCCAGCTCCAGGGGATCTAGTGGCCTCTTCTGGCCTCTGCAGACACCAGTACTGACATACACACACACACAAACACACACACGCACGCACACAAATAGCAAAACCAAAACTCCTAACAGGACAAATGCATTCTCAGCCTAGAGAAGAAGTGGCTAAAGCAAGGTGACAGCACCTCTAAAGTCTTTTTAATTTAATAGTCACTGCAAGTATTTCATCCACACAAGGCACAACTCAACTTCTGAGTCTTGTCTGTTGCTTAGTGAGTTACAAGCAGTCAAGAAAGCAGAATTCTAAGAATCTCTTTCTCAGTGAACTAGACAATAAACCATCATTTTGTGTCTTACATTCTACAAACCCAGAGCAAAGAAGAGTGCTATCTGGAGGTTCCACTACACTGCACACAACTGCCTTCCTGAACAGCAGAGTATAATGGACGTCAGAGTCTGAACCACCTGACTCCTAAATTGGAGTTAGGGATGTGATCGTATTTATTACATTTATTCATTTTTTTAAAGTGGCTCACCAAACACTGTTCTCCAAACTGAACTAGGAAACAATAAAACACACAACAGGAAGGAAAAGAACCTCACCTCCTATCATCACATGCAAAAATTAGCTCAAAATTAATCACAAAAAGTGCCTAGAAAACCCCAAGTTGGCAATGGAGTCTTAGACAAGAGACCAAAAACACAAGTTACAAAAAAGATTAAAAAATATTAAAAAAAAATTGTGACACTATCAACAATAAAGGGAAAAAAATCCATAGAATGGTAGAATATATTTACAAATTAGTATGCAGAATACATAAAGAACTACAACTCAACAACAAAAAGTATGTAAGAAACAGACAAAGAAAGGACTAGAGAGATGGCTCAATGGTTCTTGCAGAGGACCTGAGTTCAGTTTCCAGCACCCACATGGTGACTAACAACTATCACCAAAAAACAAACACAGAAAAGAAAGCGCAAGGATGTGAAGATATGAGAAGCTTTGCGTACTGTTGATGAGAATACACACACACACACACACACACACACGCACACAAACAGAATGGTTAGCCGCTGTGGAAAAGTAAGTTCCTCAGAAAGTAACAGAATTATCATATGACACACCTACTGTGAGATCTATATCCTCAAGGAATTAAAAACAGCAATTCGGAATGTCAGTGTTCACTACAGCATTGATCACTCCAGCCAAAAGGTGAGAGCACCACAAATATTTGGCAGTATATGGGTGTGTAAACAAAATGTGGTAATTCATGCAATGGAATATAGTTCAGATTTCAAAGATGAAATTCTGACATAAGCTCCAAAATGTATGAACCCTGAAGACACTGTGCTTAAGATTAAGAGAAAGTCAGATACTAGAGCAGCTCTCTTGAGGTAGCTGATGTTATCACATTCAGTGGCAGAAGGCGGATGGTGGTTGCCAGCAGCTGGAGGAAGAGGAGCTCCTGGTAGGCTATGCAGTTTGTTCTGAGTTAGTAAAAATCTTCTGGAAACACAGCTGGTCCTGATGGTTGCAGAACATCGAGAGTGTAAAATGCCACTAAACTATACACTTAAAGTGTTACAACAGTGACTTTTAGTTATCTATTTTACAATATTTTTCCATTATTCTCAGGAGCAAAGCCAACCTTGGTGTCATATTATAAAATATCACAATTTTTAATAATTGCATTTGCCAGGGCCTAGGGGCAGAAGACGACAAGGAAAACACTTCAGGAAAGTTACTACTGAATACTCAAGTGGTGGTACCTCAGATCTTGACTTGAAGTCTCACAACTCCTTGAGCTGTCTCCTGAGCCCATTCGCCTCCTTTTGGATGGATGGGTCCCATCATTTGAGTTATCTTCATTATCATACTATACATTTAAAAGATTAAAACACAATAATAGAGAATGAATTTTAAAAAGAATGATTATGTATCTTTCCAGACTGCCTAAATCTCAAGAAGCAAAAGTTTATTTATAACTAGTCCTTTGAAAGCCTAATTTCTTAGTATAATTAAAAGGACAATAAATTTGGCATACTCAAGTGGACTAAACTAAAAACTCATCTTCAACCCAAACAAAACATAATTTTCAGCTACATTTTTAAAAAATATACTCTACTTTCACTTTCTTACCAACTAGGGTGGATTTAAATGCTTTCTGCTTTTAACAGCCACATCACTCTCAAACTAAAGCCTTCTTATCTGAGCTGGGAAAATTTTTAAGTATTATTAAATTTTCCAGTATTCACTCAACTGATCTATGGAAGCATATTTTAATGGACTACTTTTTCGAGACTTATAGCCCTGTGAAAAGGAGACACAGGAGGACTAAAAACACGTTACCAACTCAGCACATTGTGACACGCACAACAGGGGCTATATATATGATCCTCAGCAATCCCACTAAGGAAATGAGTGGTCAAACGTTTAAAAAAAAAAAAAAAAGACTAAATTTACACTCTACCCATGGCTTAAGTTCAAAAAGTCAGATGTATTTTTCAAATCTAGGTAATGGAGCTTCCAACACTAATACAGCTGGCTAAATACCATAGCCCTCTTGCTACATGTTAAAATAAAAACACAGTAAAGAGAATAAACCAGTACTAAGTCAGGCATGCCAGTGCTGGATTGTCTAGGGTCTTGGTGGGCACTACATCTCACCAGCTGTGTGATACTCCTGCAAACTTCTTATCTAAAAAGCTGGATGGCTGACACAAGGATTCAATTAATACACGGAAAGCACGTACCTGACTCGTAAAAACGTTATGATTATTAGAAGTTTTACACTTCGTTTTGTCTCCAGCTCCTAGGAACTTACTACGATTCTCTAACAAATAGTAAAGTAGACAAAACCATCCCTTTTCCACTCCTGATTAAGCAGACTAAATACCCCGTTTAAAATTAGCAAGAGTTGGAGAGTAATCTAATTTAAAAATTCACAATTGCAACATTTCATATTCCGCACTTCATTTTCAGCACTCAGGTACGTATTTACTTGTATTTTAATAATCTTCATGTCAACACTTCCCTTCGGCCAAAACACGACTCACTCAAGAAACAGGAAGGGAGCTGGACACTGACAAGTTAAGCAGCTCAAGCCGCTCCTCAACGTGCCCCGCTCGCAGGTCGGCTCCAGGCTCCAGCTCCGGCGGCGCGGCTCAGGGCTGCGGCCGTCCGCAGAGCCCGGGGCGGACGATGCTCCCGGAGGCCCCGCGGGGCCAGGGGCGCACGTGGCCGGCCGCTCTGCTCCACCCGCGGACCTCGGCCGGTCAGCGCGCTCTCCGCCGACGGGGCAC